TAAAGAACAAAAGAATACAAGATTCTTCTCCAGTATTTTGTGTGTGTACTTGCATATTTGTAACTGATCAATCATTCTCTCTGAATTTGCTTCTATTTCCAAGAAGGAAGTAGCAATTCTAGGATAGATATTCTGACAACTCTGAAGGAATTTCCCTGCTCATAAAGGTGAATAACTACAGAAAGTCACTCTTTCCCTACTTTATGATTTCTGACAGTGTGCTGAGCTGAAAAGTGTATGTGCATCTTCCTAAAGCTTCTTTTGGTTTTTTTTTTTTTGTTTTGTTTGTTTGGGGTTTTTTGGGGTTTTTTGGCTGAAAGAAAAAGCAAAAATGTTAAGTGCAGAATATTTGATCTGTTTACTGAATGTAAAATTATCAGAAATGCAGTGTTCAAAGTTTGTAATGAACAAGTTGGCATGCATCATATAGAAACCTGCTGTTCTGGTGTATCAAAAGATACAAGTGAGTGTATGTAATTACTAGATAGATAAACAACAAAATATCAGTAATAATAATAATACTGGTTGGTGAGACACACTGCGATGAAAATATGTTATTGCAATTCTTGTTTTATCTTCTCTAAATGATGCTGAAAGCTCGGGAACACTTCAAAAAAAGCTACAAGAATTACTAGAGTTAAAATGCTCCAAGGAAATTAATTTATCCATGACAAAGGTCAGACCATTAGCAAGCTGCCTATTAATAGAGTCTGCACAAGGAAAACATTTCTGTTAGAAGACCAGTCTTTAATCTAGGAAAAAAAAAAAGAGCTGATAAGAAATAGGGGCTAAAGTTGTTCAAACTTAAATTAGTAATAAGAATAAAGATTTTAACAAGAGAGATTAGCAGTCATTGGAGCAATACTATGGAGGATATGGTTTTCAACTTTTTCTTATTTAGTTAATTTCTGAAATACTGTTCTTTTAGAGAGCCTACACAGCTTTTCGTCAAATATTGTTCTGGTAATAGTGTGCTTCCTTTTCTTCTTTTCCTTTCCCTGGTGTCCACAAACAAACCTAAGCACAAGTTCTTGATAGCTGAAATTCACTAAGTGCACTAAGATGAACCCTTTTCTGAAAAGTTTAGCTGAACAGATCAGATTTTGGGATGCAGAAATTACTGAGTAGGGTCCTATGGTGTGGATACAGTATAATTGCATTTTACTAATGGTCTCTCCTTCTCCTGAAATGCATTAATATTTGGGGGGAAGGAGGGTCTCTTCACTGAGAAGGTACTCCCTGCTGTCCCTGTGGCAAAACTTCTCTCTGCTCCTTATTTCACAGTACTTAGTCAGGAGGTTCTCTATTTGGTTTTGATATTTCCAGTGTGTTCCACACCACTGCCCTCTGCCCCTTTTTTTAATTCTTTAAATTGAGTTTCATATTGTGACAGCTGTTGTTTCTGTGGTTGAACAGAATATTTTCTAGCTAGAATGTCACTTCGAGATGAATATTTACCGTATTTGGATGAGATTAGCTGTGGGTTAGTATAACTACAGTAATTTTGCCTATAAGTAGATTATTAAACTCCCAAGTTTTCTTTCCAAGGTGCATAATAAAGCAGAAATACAAATTTGGAAGGAAAGTGTAAATTAGATTTGAATGAGAAGCAGGGCAGGTGGTAGAATTTTGACTAACTCCACTGAAATTTGGGTAACATGGAAAGCAGATTTCATTTGCAGCTGATGATTCAGTAGGAACTCAGCTGCTGGCATCTGACCTTTTGTTTTGTACTATTCCCCTCATTCTGAAGGCCCGGATAAAGTAATAGCAGGTACTTGGCCAACATTCACCGGTTCTAGATTAGACTGCCCTTCCTTGTTGATCTTGTTTTAGTCAAAAACTACTGACCTGATTTACTTTCCTTCCTTCCTGATAAGATGCGTGTACAGGCTGTACCTGTGCTCATCATGCTTACACTGAAGGCAGGTGTACTTTATTGCCAAGATAAACTCTTGTCAGGTTCTGTGACTCAGCAGGTCTATGGGGTACCTTTGCTGCTAGGGCAGGGCAAGGAAGAGGGTTTTAGAAGTAGATAAGCAAAAAAACCTTTCATATCTGTGATGATCAAGTGTTTATTTGTCAGTTGCCAAAAGAATAAGAGTTACATGTTGGTGGAGTATGTGGTGCCATTACCACCTCAAAACCCAAAATATCACAGTATCTTCACAGACAGGAAGCAAATAGAAAGATCTTCTCAAGCTTTTCTTGATTTGTTTGTTAGAATTTATTTATGTAGGTGAAGCTGTGTGCTCTCATATATAGCCTTCCACTCAGGTTTTAGTACACTCTGTGTTCATCATGTGTCACATGAATGCCTCACTATAAAAAGATGAAATAACTGAGTGTAATTCCTGTCTTTAATCTAGTTCGTCTTTAGTGCAATACATGTTTAAACTTCCATATGATAGAAATTGATCTGATAAATGTAATTTTTCTGTAAGTGTGGAAGAATGTCTGAAATTCCCTATGTAGTTAATACTCCAAACGTGGAAATGAACAGTAATCTCATTTATTATATTGAGGTTTTGCTACAGAAAGGCCTATGGGCCCTGCACAGGTTTAGTCTTGCAAGCAGTTTCAAAATATCATGTAGTTCTGCATGTATCTTTTTACCCAGCCATTCTAAGATGGCGCTTCTTACTCTTGCAGTCCTTATCCATGAGCATTTAAAGAAATATAGCCAAAAATAATACAAATTCTTGAGCATTGTACTACTCAGAAGAAGTTGTACTGCTTTCCTCTTTGTCCTTGCTTGTTAAATTTTCATGAAAGATAATGCAACTTTGGTACTATTCTATTAAAGCCGGATGTGCTTAGCTAAAAAAGAAGTATTTTATAAGTTTGTTTTGCTGGGCTGTAGGTGGAAAGCACAGCTGAGATCACACTTCTCAAAATATCAGTTGATTGCTGTGTGGTACCTGTTTGTCTCTTTCCTGATTGGGCAGAGCTGTTGCTGGGCTGATACCATTTTGACCAAAATTAGAAAGTCAATATAAACGAGTCAAACTAGATTGCCTGCTTTTTTCAGTTCTCTCTTCTGATTCATCAGTTGTTTGCTTCAAATTTTTACAGCCTTTGTGAGTTGGGTGTTGTGCCAGCAAAGGTGAAAGCTCTTAGTGGTTAGTCATTAAGAATATTCATAAAAAATTGTCGTGATGACATTTAGAGCCTAAGAAAAAATGTGATGCCTAGTTTAAAAAAAAAAAAGTGGAAGTGGGTCCTACAGAGTGATATTATTAAATACATGAATGTGAAAACCATTTCCTCACATAGGAGACTGCTGCTTCTCATGTTCAGACATAGCACTCATCTTCCTGAGAGGATGTTATTGCCAGTGTCTTGTGGCAGAGGCTTAGGACCTGAAACTTACTGATGAAGGCAGGTATCAAAGGAGGAGTTGCTGCCTAAACATCTTTTTTACTTCAGTATTAGCTTGTTTAACAAGTTAGACTGAGCCTGGTTAACTTATGTTGCTAATACCAGGGAGGGTTAGAATATGTGTAAATACAATGATGATATTTGAACAAAAACAGTGGAATAATTGTTCAGTAAAGTTCTAGGTTAGTGCAAGTACAGCAGGTTAGCAGCTAAAGGCAGATGTTTCTCATACTTGAAGAAATGCTGTTACTTTACCTGCACCATTAAGCTAAAGCTACAGACTCCTTTTAAAATGAGTAGATTTTGATGCAAGTGACAGAGGGAGATGTTTGAAGTAGTTTAAACCTGAGTTACTTTAGACTTTCAGAATTTTTTTTTCTTGTCACATACTGGTGGGTAATAAACAGGCAGGGATGTTGTTGAATTGCCATTCAGTTAGGATCTTCTAGTCTTGCCACTAAAAATTTGTATCTGAGAATGTACAAAATGAAGGTCAGGCTAGAAAGTGCTTTAGGAGAGCAACTTGCTTAAATCATGAGATCTCAAGATACCTTACAAAAATAGAAAGTAGGTCTCATTCAGCAATGATAAAAGGGTAGGAAGAGCATATACAATCAGAAGAAAACCCCAGCAGAGCACAATGTGAGGTGCAACTACAAAAGGACATAAAAAGAAACAAAAATTTTTATAGTAAATTGAGAAAACAACAAGGAAATAATTTCTCTGGTGTTCAGAAAAAGCTGAGCATTGCTGGCAGGTACTGTGGATAGTTAAGTGTGAAATGCCCTTTTTTTTTTTTTGCTTCTTTTTCTGAACGGGTTATGTATGACCAAATGAATAATCTCTACTTTAGCCTGGAGTCTTTTGTCACTAAAAAACAAACTGAAGCATATTAAATGTCATCAAACCAGCTGATGCAATTTACCTTTTGGTGTTTAAAAGGGGGATCTCAGTCTCTGAGATTCTTGAAAAGTTGTGAAGAATTGCAAGGTTGTAGGGTGCCTGTTTTTAAAAGGAGAAAGAGAAGGAACTGAGAAATGACAGACCAGTGAATTTAAATTGTATTTCTGGTAAAAATTAGGAACAAATAAGTCAGCTATCTGTGAGCAGTTAGAATGAGCAACAAAATTAATAAAACCTAATTTGGATTTAATAGTAACAAATCAAGGGGAAGGAGTTTAACTTCTAAAATGGTTACCAGGCCTAGAAAAGGAAAGGTTGTAGTCTCTTCCTGTCACAGCTGAAACTTTCTTACTTGAAAGATAGTAAATTCTGCTGATTTTTCTGATTATTCTAGTTATATAAAGTGTGGTCTAAGATGTTTTAAGATTACTGTGGGCTTGGTAAAAATAGATGACCTTTCCTAAGTATATCGCATTAGTAATTACTCCAGTGGTATCTAGTTCTGTCAGATGTTTTTGATTTCTTCTGTAAATCAAGTTTTGAAAATTGGTAGCATAAAAAATTATTTCTAGCTACTGTGTTTGGCATTCCTTCAGTTGTTCTGGATGTGCTGTTATCTGAATTGGGAAGCAAATTAAGTATTGTCTTCTTTTTAAGCAGCTGCCACCTTCTGCTGTTGTCCATGTAACATGGTTTGTTTATTTATTTTGTTACAGGATTTGGTTATCCGTATCATCTTCATTCTTGGGAATTTAACAGCAAGGAATGACCAGTCCCGGGAGCAATTTTTTAAAGAAAAAGGAAGTGTTAACACCTTGACATCATTATTCCAAACCTACTATGAACTTGATTTGAATGCACCGACATGGCACCATGATAGAAAAGGAAAAAGCCAACCAAAGTATCGTTCAGAAGCAGAAGATGTTCTGATAAAACTGATCAGAGTGCTGGCCAACCTCTCCATTCACCCTAGAGTAGGTGCAGCTCTGGCAGCTGCCCATCCTCTTGTAGGATTACTTGTTACAGTACTAGGTAATAACATTTATGTTGTGCTTGTTATCTTTGTTCAGCCTGTAAGGAGAGTTTAAGACTTTCCATTGCAAAGAAACCCCAGAGTCAATTGTCTGACATTCATAAACTGTTTTATGTAGGAGGCCTGTTTTAGAAGCATTGTTGCTTTGGTATTGACTTTTCAGTATCTGGGGAAAGATGTTGTAGAAGTCTTTAATTCAGTGATCAGATTTGCAGATAGGATCATTAAAGATAAGAAAACAAATTTTATTTTAAACACATCTCACTGAGAGTTAATCTATAAGGAAAGTTTGTTCTTATCAGGTGCTATATAGATGTGTTTGGTGGTGGTTTGTTTTTTTTTTAAAGGTTTGTATTTTTTGTGACTGTTTTGGATTGTTCCTGTTCACTGCGCCCATAACTTTCAGCTTCTTTAAAGAATTTTCTCTTACTTTTTTCCTTCTTTTTCAGTCTTCCAACCTTTTATCTCTTTCAGATGGAAGAGTGTCTCCCTCCAAATGGAGGATTAGGACTGCAGTTCCTTTACCACTTACTGATCCCCTTGTAAATCTGATTACAGACTAGGGCTGGTCTGTTTGGCCCATAACAGAGTTTAACTGTGACAAGATACATGTTAAACAGCCCAGTATATTTTACTGTGTAATGAGAACATTAAATATTATGTTAACCTGATTGTACACTGTCTTAGCAGTCATGAGGGATGAGACAAGTCAGACGCACAACTTGGTTCTGTCTCATGGGTTGAAACTCTCTTAATGATTTTGTAAGTGCTTTTGACCTTCAGAGCTTCTCTCTGCTACCCTCTCCTCTTCTTGAGCACTTTATCAGTCAGTTTACTACAAAATGTTCTGTCTCCCTATGAACTTACCCCTTTTTTATTTCCTTCACTCTTTGCTTCTGAGGCCAGAGACCTCAGACAAATAAGTCTTTCAGACTTTTTTACATGTTAACATTCTGTCAGGAAATCTGAAAGAAAAGTCTTTCAAATATTGTTGAAGGGATTTTTAACCATTTTTTCTCCATGTCTATTACACAGCCCCATTTCTGCATGTGGACTCTCCTCAATGCCATCTTAAAACAGCAAAGAGGATTTGTCGAATGTCTTAACTGACTAAATTTTAAACTATTTCGCCTGAGTCACAATGATTTCTCTAAATTAATAATGGGGAAGAATGGTTTTGTATTGCCATTTTTGGATCAGGTGTTCCTGTTAACTTCTGCCATGTTACTCAACAACAGAAGGTTTGACTGTAGTAGTGGCCACATAAACTATTATTCACTTTGCTTCTGGGATCTAATGCACTGCAGAATTAGACACGTGTGTGTTTATCTACATATGCCTATGTTTTGGGTTTTTTTACTCTCAGAATACAAGTCAGTCGATGATTGTAAAGAGTTGGTCATCAATGCTGCAACAGCAATCAACAATTTGTCCTACTACCAAGTGGAGAATTCTGCAGTTCAGGAGAAGCAGCTACACATTGCTGAAAGTAAGGACTTTTAAACAAGTACTTTTTGTACAGCTTTTTGAAAGCAGAAACATTTTGACACAACAGAAAGACACATAACATTTTGTGGTATTATCTTGCAGGAGTATAAAGTTCATAGGGCTAAATTCTTTCAATAATGATTTCCCATTTTTCTTGAAAACACTATGACTTATATGAAAATAGCTGGGTTGTTCACAAAACCCCTTCTTTTCCTCCACAAAGGAATTTGCTGTATTGTTTTCTGTTCAGCAGTTTTTGCCAGATTTGTTGAAAATCCATATACCTGAGCCAAAATAATCATGTTGCTTTTTCCTTCTAATCACAGTATGGCAAGAGGGTTTTTTCTTCTTGATAAAAACTTACTTTCTATGCCTGTAAAATCAGATTTGTGTCTGTTTCTGGCTTGTAAATCCATTGGCAATATTATATTGAGTGATTCTCTCCCCTCTTGACATGGTGGTCAATAATCAGTTATGTGCAGGAACTGCACTGACTTCTGAGACTATTGTGTTAATGTTGTACAAAAGGCAGAGAGGTTGTGTCTTGCACATCTCTCTATCTCAATAGACCAGACACTGGGGAGAGACAGAACCTGAAGTTCACACAACAGGTAGAATGAGGAATAGGAAAGGATATCCTGGCTGTCAGCCCAGTGCCTGGACTGGTAGACATCATTTTCTCTGTAGGTGACATTTCTGCTGTTCTGTCAGAACTCATTTTATCACCTGTAAGCCAGCTGCCTCTTGTTGCTGGTTGAAAACAGATTACTTCTGTCCTGTGTGTTGTCATGTGGAGCCAGTCCCATCACCTTCCTGAACTGAGGAAAGAGGAAACGTTTTGATGCAGGACCAACAGGCTTTCTGCTGCTGCAGGCATTTTGAGAATGTTTCCTGTTTGATATGTGTGGTGGACAAAATCCCTTCAGATGTCTTTTTAAGACAAATTGAAGATGTGTTCAGTATTGCAACATCCAGAGGCAGAAGTAATGAGGACAAAGCCAACCTCCCTTCTATATTTCTTTATCTCTTCTATCATAGGAAGGGCTAAGGGTTGACTTATTTGAGTCCTCTGTGTGATGGACTGATTTTAGTGTTTTGCTTTGTATTCACAGAAGACTGATAAATGTAACTTCTGTAACATCACTCTCTGCCATGCACCGAAGTCTTCCATGATTGTAGCTCTTCCTAGGAAGTGCTGAAGGTCTCATTCCTGCTGCTGAAGCACACACTGATCATATGTAAAATTGCTGAGCAGAAAAGCAGCAAGGAAGTGAATGTATCAGATTGGGACAATATTAAGTAGCTGTTGAGAGAAAATGTGTTTGCTTGTTATAGCAGCACTAAGAGAAAACAGAGCTAATGTCAGAAAATAATTTCATCCCACCATAATACCATCTGTTCAGGATCTAAATCAATTCTCTTATATATTACATTATTATATTATATTAATTTTTTTAAATTATGTCTGTCTGAATTTTCATGAGCCCACTCAAAACTGCATAGCAAAACTGACGCCCCTTATTACAGCTGTGCTTAGACTGTCTCCATAACTCCTTGTTTGTTCCTTGCACTTAGTCCCATATTGGAGCTCTTTATCTTTGAAGCCATATGCAATTTTGTTCTTGTTCTACCATCAGCTCACCCCCTTTGCTGCCACCAGACAAACAACTGCTCCCATTTTTTACATTTATAGCTGTTGCTGTTTGCATTCTGATATTCATTGATAAAAAAGAGCCATATATTTGTGATTTATCATTTTTATTTAATTTCTCTGCAAACCAACAGTGCTTTTAACGCTGTTAATGAGTGACAACATGGATGCAGTTGTGGAGGCTGTCAGAGTCTTTGGCAATCTTTCCCAGCATCATGAGATCCGTGACTTCATCATGCAGAAAAAGAGTGAGTTACTTTTGCGTTTGTAGGAGTTCTATTTTTGAATGTCCATGGTTCTAAAAAGAAAAAGTTGTTAATAAGCTGTCTCAGTTAAAGGGTAGAATCAATCTTCCCTGATGTTTTGCAAATTAGGCAAACATTAGAATCCAATAATAGCCATTATAAATACCATTTCGTTTCAGTTTCATTAAAATGGAAATATTGGAGTAGGAAAAATATGCCATGGTACTTTCACAAAGGTACATATTACAAAAACTCTGTTTTTCCTGAAGTTTCAAATTTGAAATTTCCCTTTACTCAAATAGCTTTTCAGATCCTGCAGGTTAGTAGTGATATGAAATAAAATTAAAATCCAATTAAAATCTCATTTAGGTTCATAAGCTCAGATTTTTGATTCCCACATTTGACAGCTTGTTAGCACTTTGTACCATGTGGCTTGGATTTGTCTGCCTCAGCAAAGACCTGCTGTTTGCCTCGGGGTGAAGTAGGGTTCAAGTCTTCTCAAGTCCTTTTGCTTTGTGTAGCTGAAGAGCTTTAGGGAAAATGGCAACTCCTTGCTATCCACAGAAGGTGTGTCATCAGCTCAGACACCACTTCATTGTAATTTTTTTTCTCTCTGCCTCTTGGTGCTGAAAGTGAGGTGATCGTGTCGCAATATGCAACTCTTTATTCCAAGGGTGGCACATCACCATAAATGAAGGGAGAAGTGACTCTTAGGAGCTGGTTCCTGGTGAACAGTCTCAGTCAAAGGACTAAATTTTCCAGCTGGAGAGACGGTGGTGTTGGTGTGCCAAGCTCAGGAATTGCAGAGGGGCTTGCTCTCAGAGAGGCCAGCCCAGCTCCCACTGCCAGGCTGGGGCTGGCTCTGCAGTCAGTGCCAGCAGCTGCTGGGGATGCTGCTCCCACTGGAGCCCCAGGCTGGACTTGGTGCACTCTGGGACAACTCTGCACTCACAGGGGAAAGAACTTCCCCCTCTGAGGGCCACATGCCAAATCCTTGCAGTCTCTGCTGACTCTGGGATGGAGAGGGAGGGGACAATTTCAAGAAATAAGCTTCAATTCAGTTTGGTCAACTTCTGATGGGATTTCCACATTTCTTTGGTGTATTTTTATTACTAGAATTTCTGGTTTGTTGTTTTGAAGGAACTGGTGTTCAGCGTGATGTTGCTGTCATGTGCCTCCTCTACAAATATCACAGTAATATGCTACAAGGGTGAATTTTTGGATAGGATATCCTGCATTTTACTGCTTTCTAATAAGTGTGTTGTAATGCCACTTGTATGGAAAATCCATCTTTCTGGTAATATTGTTTCCTTTTTACAATCCAGTATACAAGTTTGTGATTGCTTTGCTCGATTCCAAGGACCGAGAGGTCTGTTTTGCTGCCTGTGGAGTTCTGCTCAATCTCACAGTAGATGAGAACAAACAAGCTTTTCTCATGGAAGAAGGAGGAATTGGAAAGTAAGTTCCTGATTGTGCTTGAGAAAAGGTAATTTTGAGTAGTTTGGCCAAAAAGTTTTAATTGGATGTTTTTTTTCCTGGGGCCAGTAGCTGTAATAAAGATGCCAGCATAATAGATACTTAGTATCTAAAGTTCTGCGAGAACCAGCCTTTTGTGAGGGTCAAACCCTGCAGAAGAGTCTCCCAAAGACCCTCTGTGATGTACACAGCAGAGGGTACCATAGAGGAAAGCAACTAAAGCCTGGCTTTGCAGCAGCTGCTTGAGCTTGGCTTAACTGGCTCCTAGGTGGAGCCTAGGTGGGCTACAGTGAACAGCAGGGTCAGTGTGTGTCTGCGGCAGGTGTGAGGGTACTTCAGGAAATTATAAACCAGATGGTCCCTTGCCATTTTTGTAACCACTTGGTTCTGTAGGGAAACCTACCTGATGTAGCCATGCTCTGCAGGGAGGGCTCCTGGGTCTCCTCTCTCTGGGACTTCCAGGTTAAGGGCACTGTAACATTGTAAGGGATATTAGACCTTGAAAAAGCACCGTGGATGCAACGCTTGTGGCTTTGATGTTCAGATAATAGCGGATCCAGCTTAATTGGAGCAACATGAAAGATCATGTTCCTGTGCTTGTAAAGCAGTTGGTGCAGCCCACAGTTATGAAACAATATGTCTCACTTTGAAATGCTTTCCTGTTCATACATCATATAATTACTTTTTTATACACTGTAAACAATGCATAGGCTTCTCGTCCTTCCTTCCCACGTTCTAGTTAACTTATAGTATAAAGCTGGAAAAGGAGAATAAAAAGAAGTTGCTGGCAAATTGAATAATAAATGAGAGAAATTTCTATAATATAGAATATTCTGCAGCCTATAGAGCCATACAAATTCAGAATTTTCTATACTGTGTCTGAAAATTTGTGAGGGAAGGAACAAAAAGCAGTAACAGCCTGGAATGAATCTAGGTAATTTGGAAGTGATTGCTAAGGATATCATCCTGACAGTGCTGAAGCAGCTCTGGTTTTTTTGGAACTGAGGTTATTGTACCAATATATAGTGGCCCAAAGAAAATAGGGAATTAGTCTTTTCAGAGAGTTACATTTTAAAAAAATTAGTGCAAGTTCTTTTGGCTTTTCATTAGATGCCTCCTATTGTTCCACAATGACTGCCTTCAGAGAGGAGGAAAAAAGCAAGCCTCTTTTTGGGTGGTCTTCAATGGCTGGTAATTCCAGCCATACCTGAATGTAGTAGTTATCCTTACTATTCAGCAGATGACAAATCTCTCTGTGAAGTGGAGAAGTGAGGAACCCCTTAGAGGGGTTCCTAAGGCTGGAGAACAGCACTGAAAGGTTTCTGTCATTTAAGGGACACCTTAGTAAAACAGGCATTTCTGAGAGGAAATGCAAGAGTGGGTGAGATCAGCAAAATTGTGAGACTTCACTGAATGTGAAAGGTAATTCTTTGATCATGGAAATAGCAGATTCCTTTGGATTTGTTTTTTTGGTGAGATGATCTGATATGTAGTAAGATGGATATTCTGACTGAAGCTTTTTCTGCATTCCCACCACCTTTTCCAGATGAATCATTGGTGCCTGATAAAGTTTGGCTTGGTTTGCAATCTCTGCTTTAGTGGTAGTCACAGATTTGGGACAGTCACCTACTGTAATGAAATTTGATGGAACTTTAGTGTCTTTGAAATGGTTACATTTGCAAAGTATGTGAGTGAAATTGGTCATTTGGGTTAGAAAGTTACAGAAGATGGGCAGCTGCAGGCAGGCACACACGTGTAGACAAAAGGCATGTCCACATCCTTGGGGAACTACAGTTAATGAAAAGGGGGAAGTTACTGAGGAAGAAAGTAGCATCTGATGTTTATTAACATAGAATTTTCCTGCAAACTTCCGTGAGCTTGCTTACATTTCTAGACTGCCAGATTTTTGAAGAGCTCAGGAGTAAATTCCATGGAAGAAACCACTGATATTGTTTGGTACCAACAGGTTGATTGACTGCTTACAAGACTTTGGGCCAGCAGACTGGCAGCTCTCGTGTTTGATCTGCAAAACCCTGTGGAACTACAGCGAGAACATGGCAAGCACAGCCTCCTGCTTCGGAGGGAGCACCAACACCCTGCTGATGCTGCTCACAGCACTTCTGGGTGAGACTCCCAGCCTTGGGCTCTTTTCCTCAATAAAAGACACAGAAGGAGCAAAATCAATGCAGGGTTAGTTTGGGTGGGAAGTCTGTCCTGCAGCTTTCAGTGGCTGGCCAGTGTGGGCTGTGCAGCACACACTGGGCTCCCTGGGGATTGTGGCATTTCTGGGGTGCAGCGGGCTGACTTTCCTGCCTGGCCACCTTTCTTGTCTCTCCATGATCTCCTTGTGGGCAAGGACAACATCCTGACAATTTCTCATCTGTTCCCTAAGGCCAGGAAAGGTGTGCTCATTGCTTCACAAGGCTGAAAGATTAATGTAAGGACCTTGATTTGCTTACCCAGTGGGATCTTTTCATCCAGGCATTTACTTTTGCTTCAAATTTTACATAGGTCAGTGCTGTGTAATAGTCCTGTAGTCGGTATATGTAATTTTCCTCCTTTAGTTTTTGACCACTGCTTTGCTTATGATTTTATTTTGGGTAGATCACTTGCAATTATCTTTAAAAAAATCTTTAAAATATTAATCAAATTGAAGGAAACGAACTATATGTGATATGATTTTAATGGGAAATTGATTAAAGATGTATACTTACTGTCAGACCCAGACAGAACGTGAGATCTCACAGTCTCTTTCATTGTAGACAATCAGAAAAGTGAGTGGATTTGTGAGGATTTTTTTCCAGTTACAGCAGAATTACTGATATTCACTGCTGCAATAGTTCCTTGTTTTACATTCCTTGCTATGGTGGACTTTATCTTAATGCGTGCAGTAATTCCATCTATTTATCTGAAATCAGCAGTGTTTCAAGGTTATTGCTGCACTTTTCAACATTCTGCAAGACATCTGCAAACTTTACAGCCACAATAATGCTTGAATTTTCTGGCACACATATAGAGGTATATATCTTTGTTTTAGAAAATACATGCTTATGTTTTTCTCTGCATTTAACACTCCTTATTGAAGCAAAGTCCAGGCTGGATAGCAGTTGTAACTCTCAGTAAACAGTATAACTTTCATCAACTGGAAGTTTGTGTACAATTGCAATTGCAGTTACAGTTGGGATTGCAATGCTGCTGTAATGGTAATTAATTCGGAACAGGTTAGAATTAAATCAGAAGGCCAGTCATTCTTCACACTTTAGTAAGAAGAGGAGCTGTAGAAAAAGCACATCTTATTCATTGGATCTGGTTCCTCTGTGTGCAGAGAGCCAACAAATCTTAGTAATAGCAGCTGGTTGATATTGTCCTGCATCTTCCTCCTCCCATTGTGTCCAGTAACAGCCTTGAACCGTCATTGCTCTGATTCTATCATTCAGGAAGCAGGAGGCAACTGCTGACAGCCAGTGAACTGTACTTGAGCGTCAGCACACCCTCAGGAAGCGGAAAAAGTGGAGCATGGCACAGCAGACACCTCTCTTCACCTGCTGTGCTTGGCCTCCTCCCCTTTATTTTCCCCTCCCCCATCTGGCACAGGATGACAAAAGATACAAGGAAGCAAAAGGGAATGGAAGTGGCCTGGAAAGCTGTTGTGCCCAAGAGAAAGGCTGGACAAAGGGCACTATTTGTTTTTCTTTTTCCCTGCCTGATCCCAGCAGCCTGGGATGCAGTGGCCCTGCTTTCCAATGGCACTTGTCATTCTCCTTCTTTCAGCTGCTTGACTTTCATGTCACTCTGCTGGCTCAGAGCTCCTGGTGACTGCTGTTCCCAGGTCCCTGGCAGCAGCTTTGCCTTGGCCCAGGCCCTCACAGGCAGCGGTGGAGATGAGCTTCTGTCTTGGGAACATTCTTCTGTTTGGTCATTCACTGAAAATAAAGTTTCTCCCTCCAGACTTTTTCTTGTGCTGACTTTTACCTCCACTGTCAATTCCAGGAGGTTATTTTGGAATCTCAGTCCATGTGAACTCTTACCTGACATGACAGAGCTTCCAGGGCTGCCAGCCCCTCTCTTGCCGGTGTTTCAAGGATGGGCAGCCCTTGCCGACTGCAAGAGTCTGCACTCCAGTTTCCCCCACAGTGTGCAGGCCCACTGTGTTTTGTTCCTGGGCTTGCAGCCAGCACATATGCTCTTTGGCCAGGACCCAATATTGCTGGTTTTTGAGGAGAGTCGTGGGAAAATTAAATTATCTGAGGATGCACAGCTTGCATGCGGAACACTGATCCTCGCTGATCCACAGCGTTACTCACGTTCTGCTTTGGGAAATTTACTGCTTCAGTCCAACACTTCAGCTTTGAACTGCTTCTGACCCTTGTTCTTGTAGGCTGGAATTCTCGACCTCAGTGATTCCATAAATACTCAGTCGACTTCTGGAGAGCACAGCTGTCTAATAAAAGGGAGAAATGCCTCTCAGTCTGTGTTTGAACAGAGTTAATTTGGGTAGAAAAAAGCAGGAGTAGGCAAGGCAATTCTCCTTGAAAACAAATCCCATAATCCCTTATTTTCCACTTCAGGGTCTCTGGCTTCTCTGCTGCTGAGAGTGATTTTAGGTATGTTGGGTTACTCTGCCATTGACAGGACAAGAGCTAATGGGCACAGGTTGCAATAAGACAAAATTCCAATTAAGCATTAGGAAAAGAGATTTCCATTGTAGCAGGAGTTAAGCACTGGAACAGGCTGCTGCCCTAGAAGGTGTTCAGTACTCAACACAGACTAGAGCAAGCTGATACATGGTGACTGTGCTCCAGAGGTTTTTTCCAACCTAAATTATCCTGTGACATCATCAAATGTAGATTTGATGTCAGAGGCTGGATTTTATCTCTGATTAAAGCTTTCTTCCTGCAGAAATATGACATCTTTCTTGAAAGAATGGGTGTTTTTCTCCTCTTTATTTTATTACGGAAAGACTCTAAATGTCATCTCCTTACATAGAACCGCTTTTGGAATCTTTCTCACCATCAGCCTCTGTTTAATTTAGGTAGTTGCAGTGTAGTGGCACAGGAGCCACTTGTCTGCAGTTGCTGGTAGCTTTGTGTGAGCTGGAAATGACACACAGGGATGTCATTTGCTCCTTCATACCTGTCTCAGCTCAGGCCATCTGATCTGCACAGGCACCTTGGCTTGCTTTTGGAGGGAGTAACTGCTGTTGGAGCATCTCATTTCTACATCAAGTTTGATTCAAAATGTGGGTAACTGAAGTTTCTCTTTAGCCCCAAGTTGCTTTTACCTGCTGTGACTGTGCAATTAGCTCCCTTACAGAGTTGTTTATTTAACACATTATGAATCTGGTGCTTTTTCATAGTGTAGGCCAAGGACTAAGTATTGCCCATTTGGAGCAGGATTCTACCTTCATATTAGGTTTGTTTGTGGCCTAAATCTTGTCAAATATCCTTCTGTTAAACTCTGTGAAAACATTCAGCATTATCAGTTGTGTTTGTGGATTCCTGATTCAGGAGAATGCTTCTGGTTGCAGACTGATTTATATTTTCTCTAAGAGTTTGTCTCTTTGCCACATCCATTGCTAAGCGAAATGGAGGGGGAAAAATGACTGATGACTTCCTTTCATTCCTAACATTGTCTTTAATAAGGACTGTCCTGTTGTTTTATTTTTGAAATCTGTGAGGAAGGGAGGGCATCAGTAAATCCAGTGACCAGTGTGGTTCAAGTTCCTTCATTGTGAGAGTAGATAGAGTTTGAAAGAGTCTCCAGATTAGCAGAGCAATTTGGGACAGGAAAAACATAGTTGTAGTTAGATGAATGAATTGCTTACCTCAGCAAAATTGCTGTGGGCAGTATTAAACCCTGGGTACTTTCCAGACTGACAGCCACAATAAATCAGTCTCAGAGACAGTTTTTGTCTCAGAGACACCTGTGAGGTGTGAGAATAAAAGAACTTGCAGTACCATTTTCACTCTTCTACTGACCTTACCATCCTTTCTTTTCAATTAAATGTAAGACCCTCAGACAGTGATGCTTAACTTATCCCAAGAGCAGTTGTTTTTAAGCCATCAGCATACACAGCTGCTAAGCTGCATGTGTCACAAAATATGTAGTTGAATGTATTTTTATTTGGAACTGATGACAGTATTTCCTTGATTGCAGATGAAGAGGTAGAGTTGGAGTGCAGCCTTGACAAAGCTATAAAGGCCTGCCAAAGAGTATATTGGGAAAGAGAGTTCAAACCCGTGGCAGCAAAACTTCTTGACAGAATTCAAAGCCATCACTCTTCCAACTGAGTCTGTCACTCCATTTTAATCAGTCGGGGTGTTTTTATCAGGTAAACCGTATATTTCTAATATACCTGTACATTGCCAGTAGTAAGCTTGTTGGAGAGCATGACTATTCTACAAAAAAGTCAGAAAAGCCTGGCATTTATATACTGGATGCTGTCTTCTGAAGAGCTTGTATGAAATCTTTGCATGTGTAATTACTTTATACAATATACCCGAGCTGATGAAGCAGCTGTTCAGTGTGACTTGTCTAGTAATTGCATTGTTTCTTCACTGGAAAAATATTTGCTGAACGTCTGATTTTTAAAAAGGAAGTTATGAGTGAGTACTTGGACCTCTGTGGTACCAAAAATGTTGTGCAAATGTTGTCCTGTCAAATGTTATGTGACAAGAGCCACATCTCACCTCCAGACTTTGACTCACTTTTACCTTTAGGAGCTTCTGTGACAGAGTAACTGGTGCTGGTGGGGCTTTGTCCTGTGCTCCTTCATGACCCTCACTCTTCAGATCGAACACTGTTGGTGGTCAGGGAAAGTCACTCCCTTTTCCTTTTGACACTGGGGAGTAGGGTCTAGGGTATCCCAGCTAACCCAGCTGCTGCCTTGGTGCTGGTGGGATGTAGGCCCAGCTGTGCTGGTCTTTCTGGGATTGGGACTTCCCATCTTTAGACAAAGCACCCTTATCCCTGATGTAAGAGAAGATTTTACCTTTTTCAGTTGGTCCCACACTCCCAGGAGCTGCCTGTGTGCCTCTGCTTCTCAGACTTCTTGGCCAGCTGTCTCCCCTGAACCTGTGTCTCCATCTGTGGGGCCATAACAGCCTCTTTCTCCCTGTTCCCCCTGCCTTACAAACAGCTGCCTTGTTTTTTGCTCAGTTTCATCCTTCCAGCATGTAAAAGTCCCTGTAGCCCATGGATTAGCACAGCAGGCGCATCGCTGGCCTCGAGCGTTCCCGGCCCAGTTGGCCACAGGGAGCTGCACAGCCGTGACCCATTTCTCTCTCTGCTGCCCTCAGATTACTGGGAATGAACAGCTGGGCAGGGGCTGCCAGGCTCCTGCTCCCGTGGGCCAGCAGCATCGCCCTGGGCCCTGCAGCACCAGCGGCTCCAGCCTGGCAGTGCTGCGAGAGGCTGGAGAAATTTGTTGGGAGGCAGGGATTCATAGCTCCTCCCTCAGTGGCACTGCTCTCTCTGCCTTTGGCAGTGCCCAGACCTCTGCTTCCAGGGGAGGAGAGACAGGCTGGGAAGTAGCGCCATGGTAGAAGGGCAGCAAGACTTCTTTCCTAGTTTAGATCCCTGCTTTTCTGGGGCAGGAAAGGGAGATTTCGTGGTCCAGGTTTTGGGAGTGGTGAGGAGGAAACTTCAGTGAGAGTGATAAAATTTGCTCCATTCTTTGTGTCTCAGCTGTTCAGGTGTTACTTGTGCCCAGCAAGGCTCAGCCCTGCTTTGGGAGCTTGTGTGGCGGCGGCCTCTGTCACGGAGGCTGATCCACAGGAGAGAAGTGCTCGGCATTCCGTGTGGTTTGGCTCCAACAACAGCTCTGCTCAGCTCAAAAATATCTCAATTATCATCCCTTCTTTTGCCATTTTAATTTTAGCTGAAGTTGAAGGGAAGATAAATGGTTTCAATGTCCCATTTGTTTCTGGGAGAGAAGAATGGATTTGCTTTGAGAGAGTATTAAAGAAAGGATGCTGGGTAAGTAGTCCCTGTGGGGAAGAAGCTGGAGGCATTTGTTCCTGGCATTTGTGTCACAGCAAGGCAGGCAAACATCCGGCTGTGCAGGGCAGGGTGGGGGCACTGGAAAAGGCCCCTGTGGCTAAGCCCTGTTAGGAGGACTAATCAGAATTGACAAGGGCTGAATCTCTGTCAGAAGGCAGCTGATGCTGATGGCTGGCTCAAGTCAAGGTGATGTTTGGGCAATTAAGATTTGTTCAAATACAACACTAATTATGTCAGTTCCAGCTAATCAAACTGTAACCAGGAGCCTGAAGTGCTGTGTCTGCAGCTGGGCAGAGCTGGGGATCCTGGGGCAGCCACCATGTGTGAGCTCTGGCCTTTGCACAGGAAGAGGCACATTCACAGAGCTGGATTGAGAAGAGAGGGTGGCACAGGACTCTTGAGCACCCCGCCTGTCTCGCTGTACCAGCCTCTGTCCTTCTCTGAAGAAGAACCTGTGTGTAGTAAGAAGCAGCCCCAGAATGCTGGATTTCAGGTGTGTTCTTATGGCATTGTTTACCATTTGGGTATCTCTGCTACACACCTCAGTGCAGCAGCTCTCTGGTGTCCAGGAGCCCATTCCTGTTCTCCCTTGGGAAGAGCTGCCAGCACCACAGCTGAGAGGCTGCTGCACTTCACAGCCACGGGCTGGGGCTCTCCTGGAGCTGCCCAGGAGTACTGGGCAGAGAGCTGGGATTGCCTGCAGGTTGTGGCTTCTGCTCTGATGGCAGCTGTGACCAGATGAAGCCACTCACACACAGATCCACTGCAGTGTTTACTGCTTGAAAAGTGAGAGGCACTTGGATGTGGCTGGAGAGCATAGGATGGAAATGGCCAGTTTAGGTTTCTTGGAGAAATTCAGGTCTACCTTTGACCTCAGAAAGCACCTGGAGACTCAAGCGCTGCAGGAACTGTTCACAGACTGGAAAGGCACAGCTCAGCTGTACAATGCCCTTACGACAGGAAAGTTTTGCTCTGTTTTTGGAACATTAAAAATCCTGTATTTTCAGTTAAGAGGAAGCACCAGATGCTTCCTGTTAGTCACAATTTTTGACAGTTTATTAATCTTTCTCCCCTAGATCTTTTTAGATATTTTAGCTTCTTGGACTGTAAACTTAAAACTGTTCTCAGAAAGTTCTGTAGAAAAAGAAACCAGTCTGAGCTGAGACCTAGGCCAGAGGACAGAAATTAAACTGCTTATGGGCTTGGGAAAATCCATTTCACGGAATCACAGAAAATCATAGAATCAGCTGAGTTGGAAAGGACCCATCAGCACAGTCGAGTCCCACTCCTGGCCCTGCACCAGACACCCCAAGAATCACACCTTGTGCCTGAGATAGCTTGGTCCAAATGGGTGAAAATATCAGCAGTACAGAAGAGGTGTTCCCACTGCAGTTAGTGAAGCTCTAGCTCTGTTTTTAAACTTTTCCTCCCACCATTTCAGACTCACTTAAAAAAATCATGGCTCATGATTTTAACTGTTTGCTCAGTTACTGTTTCAAACATTTTAAATGGTCTTACAACCAGTAAGAACAGAAGCTTAAAGTTAAACCACACAGAAACGCCAAGAGAAAAAGTTGTTACCTTTATTTCAAAAATACCAGTAATACTGACAAATTTAAAAAGCAATTCACACTCATACAAAAGTATTCATGTGTTCTCCAAAACCACTGTATATTAAACGTCAGCATTTTAATCACGTTTTGATTTACTAAAAATAGATGTTTTTTAGCCTAGTTATTTAAGCACTGCAAAAATCATTAAGACCAGCGTTGGGCATGTAATACAGTAGGACTGTTTGGCAGTCTAGAACAATATTCCCACACCTTTTCCTAGCTCCTTCTTGGTTCATCCATGAAAAGGAGGACAAGAAGCTACTTGACACTTTGTGTAGGTAGATCTCTAAGAAGCTTTGAGGACTCCAGTCCCCTTCTTTCCATCGGAAGACCATTGCACTTTGGAGCTCATGAAATAATGCTGAACAAACATCCTGTTTTTAAGGCTAAACTAGTTGAGAAAATTGACTGCTATCTTTCAAATTATCAGTGTGGACAGAAGAGGTTTAGTTCTGATTAAACAGGGAATCTAAATAACAAGGCTTTTTTGAAACCACACACAATAAAGGCTCAGACAATAGCAGTGCTCACTTTCACTTCTAGCTCAACTGGAACAGCCTGGGTCTGTTCACTCCACCTGCACAAATAGCAGCATCAAGATTTTCTAGAATTATTCTCGTAGGGAAAGCAAATGCCATCAAGTCCCAGCTCTTTTCACACTCCGACTCCCGCAGTATTTGCCTTAACACAAGATCTATGTATCTATGGTTTGCTATATTGCCACAAGTTCAGAGAATGTCCCGGGCTGTCTAAAGCCAAAATACCATGAGCAGGCAGCACTTCTGCACAACCCTGTCTGTCAACTGCCAAGCGTTCGCTGCCCAGCGGCAGCAATGATATTCCAAACATGGAAATAGCTGAAACTAAAGGAGTTATGGCACAATGGGCATCTTAACTTATAGCTACTGTTGGTCCTGAGGCTTCGTATCTTCCTCTGCCATACTGCAGCTGCAGAACATTCCAACGTCGACAGGCAGCCAGAGACATCAGGTCATATAGCGAGTAATAGCTCTCAGAGCATAAAGTAGTTCGGCTTGCATCCGAGCTTCTACCAGAAGCAAATTTACATGGACCTGCAGAGAGAGAAGTTCTGCTTTAGCACCGAGCTCGCCGCCACGCCTGCAGCCACAGGAAGCCTGGGGGCCATGGGCACTGTGCTGTGCAGCAGCAGCAGGGGAGCACTGCCCGTGTCACTGCCAGACCTCCTCCCCTGTGGAGCTCACTGAGGGGGCAGAGGAGCCAATGCCACACCCTGTGGCACAGCGTGGCACTGGCCCATGGCACACTTATGTAGGGCCAGGGCCATAGGAAGAGCAAATCATCCTTTAGCAGACAGCTGATTTAGCTGGAAATAACAGACAAGCTTTCAAGCACACAAGCCCTTCCTTCTCTGGCAGCACAATATGCACAGCCTGTTCAGTTTCAGTGAGGCTAATGATTAAAGGCAGAAGGGCAGTGAGCACCTGTGGAGCAGAGGGAGGTGACAGCAAAGGCAGAGGTGATAAGGACATTTGTCCCTGGGGACTGAGAGAGAAACACACAGGCAGCTTCCACCTGAACAACACAGAGTGGTTGACCAAGGCGAAGCACCAGAAAAAACTTTCAAGTGTGATAAAGCCTCTATCTCTACTGACACACATTTGTTCAGTAGCTACTGGAGCTAAGAATTTTAGTTCCCCACATCATCTCCTCAGTGCCTTTATTGCATTTCTTTGAGGATGAAATCAGAAACTTGTGGGGGGAAGGGTGTGAAAGTATTTTTTCACTGACAGCAGGTTGCTGTGAGTTTGCTCTGGCATGTAAGGGCTGTGTGTGGTTTCATTTGCATGATCTCTGTGAGAATGTGTGGTTATTGCATTCAGTGACACATATGTGAATGAGTCTTGGCTTTGGATGGCTATGGAGATGCAGAGTTTTGGGCTTTAAAGAAGGATTTGTGTGCTTGGAAAGCTCCTTTATCACAGTCAGTCTAACCAAAACATAGGCAGTGTTTTACTTGAACATTAAATCATTGTAGTTACAGGACCCTTCTTTAAGTGGTTTATCAAGAACTAGAGCCTTTAATGTTATGAGCATTAATGATTTCTGCATCTTTATGTTTCAGCATTGACTTTAAGTGAGGCCAAGAAATACCTTTTCAAAGAAAAACTGAAGGACATAAACTTAATGGATTCAATATTTGGGAGTTAACAGCAGGAAATGTGACTGGGAGGTGTAATTCAGGCTGTAACCCAGCAGCAGAACTTTTAGGCTTTGACAAAAAAACTCTTTTGGGGCTATCCATGCCAGAAGGACCAGGGGACTGCAAAGACCCTGGGCCAGCCAGAGAGCTGTTCCAAGTCAGCTGCCAAGGGATGAATGGACTGTGCACACTTTGCTGCCTCTCTGGGATACAGGCAGTACTGATGCAGTTGAGGTGAAGCTGTACCATTGTCATGTCTAACCCCTGTACTGCTCAGAACTTGCCCAGGCTACGTCTGCTGTTTCCCAGCACACAGGCAGGAGGAAAGGGGAGATTATTTCAGCCCAGGAACACGACACTTCCCAGTGACTTGACTGTGAGCAGAACCCCAGGAGCAGCAGCTAAAGCTTAAGCTGTGGCTGTCAGGGAGACATGATGTGGGGCTGTCCCTCAGCACACACACCAACTGTACCTTCTCAGAGTGTTCAAACTGTCTCCAGAAGCTATCATACATTCTTTTTGTGGTCTTTTCAGGAGTGCAAACCACAGTCTTGATATAAACTTTAAAGCTGCGGTCCAACAACTGATTAATTTCACCATAGTCATAATCATCGTATCTGTTTGGAATTGAAAGAAAAACACTTTCATTTTCAAGCAGCAGTTATTTCACTTGCATTGTTTCTAAGTTCCTATGGCAAAACAAATTATTGGGTAAGTGTAGCACTAGTGGCCCTCCCCCATAACCAAAAATATGTTTAGAAATACATGCATGTTTGTGTAATAAATTGTTCTGGTTCAACCTGAGAAAGAAAAGCCAATGTGTTTAGAATAAAAAGAGTAAAACTGACCTTATTCCAAACATACAATGAATATAGTTCCAAATAGCTCGTCTTAGCATTGAGGTATCCACATCTTTGTGCATGGCCATTGTGTTGTAAGTCAGATTATAAGCAATATGGAACTTCTCATCAAGTAGTTGTCCCACATCTGGATAAAGACGATTAACCAAGGAATAGCCATGGTCTTCCCAGGAATAATCCTTATTATAAGTAAAAATGCAGAATGAAGCATTTCAGAAATAAACTTGTGAAGAATCAGAGTTTTAGTACAGTAAAGATCCCAGGGCAGATAATCCACTGGGTGTAGAGGTTGTCCATTTGCTGGCTTAATTTAAGGCTTACCCATGGGGCAGTGAGAGCACAGCCCTTTCCAGGTTTGGTATCTGGCACAGGCTGTTCCCTGAGCCCCGATGGCAGCCCCAGCCTCTTACCTGAACACGAAAGGTGGGCACGTGCATTCCGTGTCGGGAGAAGTCTTTGTAACCATAGCTGGTGTCCTCAAAGTGCCGAGACACGTCTCTTGTTGCTGCAGATTCTTCATCTTCTGTTAATGGCAAACAGAATTGCACACAATTTATAGAACAAATTGGAAGTGTATGAGAAGAACTCCTGCAGAAGAATGGGTCTCTGTGCTTTTTAATCAAACACGTTTTCACTGCATTAGCCGTATTAAGATCCTCTGGTACAGTTCTGTGACTGTAGCTATGGTGTTCAGAGGCAACTCCATAAAAAACACTCAGGTTTTTCCTTACAGGCAAACATTTTTTTCTCTCTTCTCTTGTACTGCAGTCTTCATCCTATCCCCTGAATCTAGGGGATGTTTTCCCCCTAACTCAAAAGTCAGTAAAAATGTCAGGGGAAAAACTAGTTTGAAACAGAGAGCTTATTAAAAGAGAGACTTCTGAGACTTCCATGTCAAGTGTGTCTTAGAGGAAATTGTATTGAAGAGGCCATTACAAGCCTAAATTTGTAATAGATAAGTATTGTCTCTCAGTCATCTGAAAAGTAACGTTTCATACACTTAAATAGCAAAGCATGTCAAGTGTCTTGATTTTAGAACATCTTGCAAGATGCCTAAATCTCCTGTGAAATTTCTAAAACTTTCAAAAGAGAGATTCCATTTCTTCTGGAGATTTCTATTAAACACAGTTTTGGTCAGCGTGTTATGGTGTGTCTGCAAGCAGACACAAATCTTGGCACTACTTTGCTTTTAAGTGTTCCTGGAAGAAAACAAGGCATCTCTAATACTGATTTCTTCAAAGAAATGGTAATGTTTGTGTGACATCTAATAGCATTTCTTTCCCCTTTTGCAGGAGTATTTCTTCAAATAATTTGGAAAAGTCTTAATAAATACAGACTACACTTGTACTACCTGAAGAGCACACAAACATGCTTTCTCTCTTCTCTCTTTCAAAACGTGTGGCCATCTCTTCTTGGCTGGCTTCCTCTTCATCTCTGCACTCCTGCAGCTGCTTCATCTTTTCCATAAGAGCTTCAACTTCACAGACAGACTCTGTGGACTAAAAAGAAGAGAAAGATATTTCATTTTCATGCAACAGGAACTGACAATGATGGCACTAATTGCCAAGCCAGAAAGTTTAAACACAACTGAAGTCTTTTACATCTTTAAATAAAGATTTTTCAAGGAACACAGTTTTTGAAAGAAACCTGTACTGACACAATGGTTTACATTTAGTCATCATCTTTTCTCAATTAGACCCCTGGTATTTTTAGCATGATTTAACAATCACAGCATTTTGGAACTAGTTGTTCTCACACTAAAATTAGTTACTCTTAGTTTAAATGTTCAGCAACTGAAAAACAAGGAGCTGTAACAGAAATTTTGATAGAGGAAGTAACCACAATTTACCACCCAACAGTATTTTTCTCCTCCTCTGCTCACAGAGAAGAAACATTGAAGGAAAAAGGAAGGGTGAGTATAAATGCAGATTTAACAAACCCTCAAAAGAAAGCCAGCACTTTCACAACAGCTGTTTTAACACCTCAAGAATTCAGTAATTGATCTTGTAAACATTCATCATCACCAGAGTAAAATTATCTTTAATTTATACAGTTCTGCCCCTTTCCTCCCTGCCTTTTACAGTTTGGTCCTTCAGAGAGCCAGCAAGCTTCATCAAACAAATTTAAATGCCACCCACACTACTGCAGTAAAATATCACAGGCAAGGATCTTGCAGTGAGAACATCCTCATGGCTGTTCTTAAACCAACACTTAGTTCACATCATTCTTTTCACCAAGGGAAAACAAGTCCAGATCAGCATAACTGCTGCAGGCAGGAGAGGGTGCTTTAAAGAGACTGACAAAGTTGTGAATGATCTGTTAAAAATGATCCTTTGTGTGATGCATGACAAACACCTCAAGGCAAAAAAGTCTGAGAGCCTGGACTCAAAGGAAAAGCCAATTTTCCACTGCACAGATGAAAAAAGCATTCCTGGCCACTGCTGCTCAGGACACGTGTCATGAACTAGTTGAGGCTGGGACTCATCTCAGTTCACCTTTATGAATGATAGGCAGAAAAAAATGACAACAGAGATTGTGTCTGTTTCCCTTTGGTAGCTTTCCCCAGCTTCCCAATATCATTTCAGCTCCTCCTAAATGCATTTTTTCAATACCCACATCTGAATTAGGCTCATCAATCCCACTCTCAAAAGAATAAAAAGAAACAGGCACCCTCCACGTATTAAGTTTACCAAGACATAACTACTGTTGGAAGAGACTGTTTGTTCAGACAGACACTTACTGGAATGCTTCCAGCTGGGCTGGCATGGATTTCATCCACCCCGTGGTAACCATTTGTTATATCACAGATGCAATAGTTACTGACAGAGGGGGGCCTGAAGGTGTGACCCCCTTCACAGTCGATCTCTGGGCTGATCCCACAGCCAAACGTGAAGGAAGCAAGGGAGTGGTAGTGTGTAAGGAGAACGACTGCATGGATCAGCTCTGCCAGGGACCAGCTGTTCTCTTCTGTCTTCAGAAGTTGCTTTAAAAATAATGCAAGACAGAAATATTGAAGTCATTCATTTGACCCCACCTTAATGCAGTTTATCAACACATTTCTTTGTCAGGTAAAATTACTTTTGTGACATCTAAACATGCTTCCTGACTCTGCTGCCATCAGTGTGCTCAGTGACCTGCCAGTCACAGACCTGCATGGTTATGCCACAAAGGACACAACTTGTCTCCCCTCTGTCCCTGGGCAATTGAATAAGTTGGGGTTTCTTTTTTTGCACCATGTGGTTTCTGGCCATACTGACTTGCATTGAAATTTCACACCTCCGATGAAGATGCAACCACAACTGTTGCGTGTTTGTTCAAATGGTCTTTACAGCATCAGAAAACCCAGGCAACTCCTTGCAGATCAGCAGTGTAAAAACCTGGCACAGGCTCCCTCCATCTTGTCCCTGTGGGTGGAATGCTCTAGATTTGACAAGAAGCTTCAAACCCCAACTTCCCCTTCAGGCAGGAAAGTGTGGGAGGTTTGGGGCCTTCTGGCAGAGCGTGCGCCCTCCCCGTCCTGCCCCAGCTGGACCTGCCACCACCTCTCACCAGGCCAGGCAGCACCCACGTGCTCCTTGCTACGGGCACAGAGGAGAGCAGAAGGGCTGGAAGAAGCAGCCCCTTGCTGGTTTGTTGGTGCTGCAGTCCTGGCTGTCCTGTGCCACCACCAGCCCCTGGGCAGCTCTGCCAGCCTGCTCTCTCCATCCCACCTGAAAACACAGCAGCAGCAAGCCAGACGAAATGTGGTGGCTGGTGTTCTGTCTAACCTCTGGCAGCAACTCAAACACCCAGGGGTTCTGGCTACTGAGAGCACACAGCTTGAGGAGGGAGGTGCACAACTGAGCACACTGTCATTGCACCAACAGAATTCCAGCATGACAGAGAAATTTCAGGGTGTTGTAAATGAAATTTGTAAATGAAATTTGCTACTCATTTAAGAGCAGTTATGATCCTGTTTTACATAACAGGGCACAAGTGATAGTAGATCATGCAGTGATGTAGCATTGAAATCCAAGTCGTTACCACAGAACATCTTTCACCCTGTCTGGCTCTGAATCCAAGAATCTGGGATTGCTTTACTGAAAAAAGGGGACATTCACATTACTCTGTGAAGGACCTACCTCAATATGTTCCTTGGTGATAAGCCAGGGTCGGTGAGCCAACATTTTGTTCAGTTCTCCTAAATTTTGCAATTTTTGAGGTGCATTTTCCAGACCATTCAACCATTTAGGGTCTCCACCAACATGAAGGAAGTCATTCACATGGAGGTTAACAAGGTAAGAGCACTGATGTCGTGCTGCAGCCTAAAAAGGAAAAGAGTGTGATACAGAAAACAATTACAGAAAGTTAGTACTTTGTGACAAATACCATAAGGCACTATTTCCTCAAAACATCCAAGAATAAGACTTGCACTGATCAAAGACTCAAGTAAAAAAAGCTTTCTGAAATTAACACATCAGCTTGTTTTGGTTATTGTTCTCACAACATAAATATCCCTTGTTTATACACACCATCGTTATGCTGGCTACAGGTGCAACATGCCTATACCCAGGGAGAAATACAGGAATGGATTTGTTGCATGTCCTGAAGCAAGTAATCCATACTGCATCCTACACTCCAGGGGGAAGAAGCTGTCTCTAGCTGCATCTTTACCAGCAACAATCAAAAGCAGGTTTCATTTTGCATATGGCAAGAGAAACTACAGGCAGCTTCTCAGCAAAGAAAGCCCAGTATCATTTACTCCAACAATTTCTATATCAAATAAAGACACAGCCCAAAATCTTAATTCAACTTCAGCAAGCAAAGGTCATTGAACTGGCAGATTAAAAATTAGAAATCAACCACTTTTGGCAGAAAACTCTCTCAGAATTTACATATTCAGAAATGCACAATGGGATTAACTACTGAGTTAGGAGAAGTGTATGTGACAGGACACAGATAGGAAAACAAGCTTTCTTGAGAAACAGTTTCTGAGATACTAAGGGTGCCAATAACAAACAATTATCTCATTTCTATAGCATGCTTTTCCCCTTTTTCTCACAGTCCTACCAAATCTATGAACATAAAGTGCTGATCTTCTGAAACCATCTGTAAAGCAGACAGCAACAAACCTCCTGTGCTTTTCCCTTTCCCGCTAGAAACTGCAGAACAGAGCAGCAGCTGCTCTGGGGCAGGCTGGGGCTGGGTGCGTACCATGATGCCAATGTAGTGCCGGTAGTGCAGCGGCAGCGGGCCGTCCATCTGCAGCAGATAGTGCTGCGTTTTGAGAAAGCTTTCCAGATACTGTGGGTGGAAAACCATCACCAAGGTGACGTTGTCCAGCCGGCCCAGCGTGGCAAAAGACTCTGCAAACAGCGTGTGCATCGCGGCGTCCTCCTTCCCCACCTGAATGGTCTGATCGCAGAGAAGCAGCAGTGAGCAATATTGTCCCAGTTCCACCAATGAAATAGCAAATAAATACATTACCACAGCACCCAGAGGCCCCAAGTGAAAGGAATTATACTATAAAACTATTAATGGCATTAAATCAGTGCACATAAAGCACATTAAATCCCTGTAATACCTCTCATTTAGGAGATCACAAGTGGTTATACCAGCAAAAGGAGATTTTTGGCTTTAGACTCTCTCTAATACAACGCTGACTTCTCATTTTTAACTGTCTCACCTTCACTTTCTTGAATACCCCAGGTTGATCTTAGTTAATTATAACTAAAAGCTAATTGAATCATCACTTTTACTACGGGAAACAGAGGGAAAGAAGCAAAAAGCTGGCAAAGAGAGAAAAAAACAGGAAATTAAAAAAGACTAAAATTCCTAGAAAACCACAGGCATATTACTAACTTTTCCTCTATTCCAAATTCTCTTACCAGACAATCAGGAGATAAGCAGCAGAAATGCTCATCCAAAGCACTCTGAACCTTCTCAGATTCTTCAGAGTGGTAGAGGCAGCTCAAGAAAAAGCAATCCCAGAGCAGAGGGGCAGGTACCTTGTGGACCAGTAGGAAATTACATCCGGATGTTCACAAGGAAACAGTACTGGGTTTCTCTCATACTAGATAGCAGCATGGGAGGGGTCATAACTATTCCAAAGCTCCCCAAGGCTCTCACTGTTCTGTACACTAGAACTGAGGCCAAAGTCTCAGGACTGAATGTGATACCACTCCTGAAAATGTTTTGCAGATCAGCAGCTGTCCTGAAACCACTGTGGGCTACTACTATAAAATGATGTTCCTTAAAAGCATAAAGTTCACTATGTACTTGAAAACACTACCACACCTCCTTCTCAGGGATGAATCTGCTTGGTCCGTGTCCCAGTGGTCTAGGAATTCTTATTCCAAGTTCCTAGAAAAGAAAAGTACACCACCTCAGCATTAAGTTATAAACAGCTTTTCAGCTGTGGTTGCAAGAAAGAAAAGAGTTCTCCATTCAGAGCTGGGCTTATTTGGGTACTTGTGGTACTCTCGCATGGGCACTTGTACTGTTTGTACAAATGCAAATCCTTTTTTATACAAGTGCTTTATAATTAGCTGTGCTTGTTTACAGCACACCGCCCCACTCCAGCAAAAAAAGTTCAGCAACAAAGGCCCTGTCAACCAAAGAAAACACACACAAATTTATATGCATGCACACACACACACACACACAAACACACTACAGGCTGGTTCACAGAAAATTCTGCATAAAGCATATTTTGGCAGGGTGTCCAGGACAAGGAGTTCCGAACACGCTGGCTGCTGTGTGGTTATGCCACTGATACAAAACGAGGCTGCTGTGTGTGTGTACATCCGCAGCTCGCCAGCACACAACACCCTGTGCATCTGTCAGGAAATGAAACAGCTGTAACCCTAATCAGATTTCTTCTTCCCAACCTCAAAGAGCACTTAAACTGCTCAAAGTACCTGATCTACATTTGCATCTGCTTTCTTTTCAAGATAGGATAAAAAGCTATTCACATTTGCAGGGAGGGAGGGAGGGAGGGGAATTTGCTCCATCAGAACAGCAGCAACCACATCCTTGCACCCACTTGTGTGGATGTGTTGCTTTGCAGGGAAGGTGGAGGCTGGATAACCCTGGCAGTTCACTACTTGTCCTCTCCTTCAGCCAGATGCAGCTTTCTGACAGGCCTGTGGCCCCCTGGGCCTTTGCTGCAGCCAAGGAGCAAACACATGGAAGACTTGGGTGCATTTGTGTCCTGCCCATGAACACTGTTCCCTTTGGAAGGGAGGGAGTCATGTGTTCCAGGGCAGTCTCTAACACAGAGCAGCCCCCTGAGAAGGCACAGCAGGTTCCAGGTACCAGAGCAGGACACGGCCTCACCCCACACTTCCACACGTGCCCCCCACGCCATCGCTGCCATGTGCGTGGCACTCTGCAAAGCAGCTCTCCTGAGGGGATTACTCCCCACTGAGCAGCTTGGCTTCCCCAGGAAAGATGGGAGCCCTGCCAGTTGATGGCATGGCATTCTTACAGATGGAGACCTGGATTAAAGCTGAGGATGGAGCTGAGTGCTAAACACCAGGCATTATATAAACTAATGGTTTGGGCTCCTTATCTGTGCCCTCTTTTCCAATCACCTTTTAGAACACATGCATTGCCTCTGGTCCATAGCCAAACCCACCCATTTTGTGACCATACCAACTTCCCAAGCAGGTTTAGATGAATAAATACCAAGCACTGAGCCAGTTCAGGCCACACAGAGCAGAGGGGCAGCTTCAGCTGGTCCAGGCCTCTGAGCAGATGATGCCCCAAGAGCTGCCTGCCAAATGCAGTTGTTAACTTTGCCACATTTTCCCCACATAGGTAAAGGCTGTTAAAATGTGCAATACTGGCTGCACTTTTTTTCTCTTTAGCTGAGGTTTCTATTTGCACGAGTTTCACTGTACAAGAAGCAATTTTATTAATCAGTTACTGTTTCCTGAACTTTCCCCTAAGATTAAAAAACAACTTCAGAGAGCTGGAAACAATGAGTGCAGGCACAAGTGGCAACTGCCAAACTCTTTAGACTCTGACAGTCTCCTCAAATCCCAGTCAGATACCTTCATTTCTCAAGTTTTACTTGGATAAAGTAAGATCAAAGGGCATCTCTTACAAATAGTCTTTTCACTTTTTCCCCTCAGTGTCAATTTTTCCTGCTATGGGTCCCAACACACACAAGCAAATTTTGGCTGTCAGCCAAGCAATGCCACTTGTAGGATGGACTTTATCTACATCTCTCTTTAAAACTTCAGCAGAGCTTCTTATTTTGGCTATAACTACACTCAAAAAACATAGCCAAACAACAGCAAGCAAAAAGAGAGATCATTTAAATTGTAAACAGGATTTAATTTAGCAGATGTCTGCAGTTTGCCAGATCAAGCCCTCCAAGACAAATACCTTGAAGTTTAATTGTTGAACAACTGTTTTTCAGTTTTTCCTTTTCCCAGAACAGTTAGAGGAAGGAAAAAAACCCCAAACCCAGATTTAAGAACCTGAGATCATCAGACTGCTAGTGCATTTTGCTTCACAATCTAAAATACATCACAATCAATATATTTCTGTTTATTAAAGCATACAGAGTTCAGGCCTACAATTACACAGCACGTAACAGGTTATATTACTCAACCATCCAAACCCTGGCTGCAAAGTGACTTAAGAGGTTTTTTTTTAATGATTAAGTGAGTTGCTTTGTTTTCCATTAGGAGAGGCATCATCCCCCTGATATCATGGCACCAGCCTAGTACTTGAGAAGCTTGGGGTCAAGGCTCTGTTGTGACAGAGATGTAACAAAGGATCTGTGAAGATGAGCCTGTTTCCTGTCTGCAAAATGGGGGTTTCTTCCAGAGGGTGCTGAGAACAGAAGCAACTTGCCATGAGGTGCATGCTTAACACAGTCATGAGAGCTGTGTAAAACCTGACCCTTTAGAAGCCTTTTGAAAACTTGTTCTTCAGTTACAAGCTATGGCAGACCTTTCAAAAGCTATTTTCCTCTCTTCTTAGGAAGCAGCATTTAATCAAATTCTCCTAGTACTTCAGAAATAGTTGTGTGCTTCCAGCATCCCAGCACTTCAAATACTTACAGTAACAGTTCTCCAAACAGTGCTAGTGAATTTCTCCTTTGTCCTGAACATATTTCTATGCTTCACAATACCCTTCTCTAAACCTCTATCTTCCAAATACACTCAAGGCAGGGAGCAACACTCTCCCTCTCAAAGGCAAGAGCTGCATCCTGAGCAGACACACCGCTACATCTCTCTCGTGTACATTTCTCTTAAAGCACCGTCTCACCTGGAGCACCAACAAGCACTTGGTGAAGCAGTCGTGTCTAGGACAAGCAGCAGCTAGAAGAAAGCCTGTATCTCTTTTGGTTATTCCAAAAGTATAAACAACTTTCATGCGATTCCAGACCACAGAATTGCACACCAAAGTGACCTACTTAGTGACACATTCTGTGCATCAAACTTCTCCTGGCTCCTTTCCTCCTGTTTGCCAACCTCACCACACCACACCACTTTCATTCAGTCTAGAAACTCTGCAGCTGAATACAGCTCAAAGCTCAGCAGAAAGCCAATCACAACTGAGGCTTTAGGTGCAAATAAATAATAACAATAACAATAATAACAATAATGACGATGGTGATGCATCAGACGCACTCCATCTTCAAAGCCAGAACATAAAACTCAGGTGGCTGCAAAGCTGAGCACCAAGGGTGGAACACCCAGAAGCTCAAGGTAATGGAAGGAGGTGGGCCTTGCAGGATGGCAATCCACTCCACTGCTCACCTTCCAGACTTACCTTGACAGAAAAGCAAGACTTTAGCCATGTAAGTGCTGCATGGACGGAGACAACTGTGAAAAACACTGAAAAGCCTCCTCTTTCTCCTTATGTAACGTAACTTGTCCTTCTGTACAGCCACTATTATTATTTCCATGGGAACTTAGCTCACCAGGTACCCATCATTTCTCAATCTACACATCCCTCACCATTGCCATATCAGCCCAGCAGCACATCTCATGCATTTAGATAATGCAAGATTCCTGTGAGGTAGGACAAGTACATTATCTCCAATCTAGGAGAAAAAAATCCCTCAGAAATGGAAAAGCTACACATCTTAGAGAAGTTGCTACAGAAGACTGGTGGCTTGAGCTGAGATCTCTGAAGTCAAAGGCGAATGCCCTAACTATCAGACTGTGTGCCTGTTCAGAGACTTCTCAGCCAGGAAATGCTTTATGCAAATTTACACCAAGAAACAGCACTGCAGAGCTGAGACAGAAAAGTTAATGAGACAACTCTGCAAGTTTAATTATATACTTCCCAGTCACCACTTACTCTCACCAGTCTGGCTCAATTAGCACATCCAACTCCACAAGGACGACTAGACCAAAAAGCCCGTGCTGCCTGCACATACATGCTCAAGGAAGCCCACTCTGAAGTGCAAATGTGTAAATTCACACAATGTAGAGCTTTTCTGTATCCTCCAGCTGTTGATCCAGCCCAATTTTTAGGTAGCTTTTTTTAAGCCTCTTGACAGGAACATCATTCCTGTCAAATTTATGAAAAATCCTGAGATTAAAAAATTGAACTGCAATAATGTAGAAAAGATTTGTAAACACTAACAGTACAACACACATTACCTCTGCTAGCAAGAGAACATCATCTGCTTTGTTTCTGAATCTCTTAAAACAAAAACAAAACAAAAAAAAAAGAAAAAGAAAAGTCACAGTCTAAGCAGACACACAGTATCAGAAATTTCACCTAGAAACACTGAAAACAGAACTAAGCTACAAGCCAGGTCACAGAGCCTCTGGAACAGGAACAGCTATCTAACCTAAGCTACAGTTCTTCCTCCAATGTATGCCTAAAATGCTTTTTCGGATCCTTGTTGTTCCCTCACTACTGGCTCCTTGCAGCTAGAGCTCTGCCCCTTATCACAAGAGCTCTCCCAGAACTCCATGGTAGTTTCATCCAATGAATCTGGGACTGTTACCAAACTGCTAATTTTCAGTCATTCAGGACTGATGAGCTATGATCCACAATGCTCACTCAGACTGCTTCCCTGGTGCGAACACAGTGAGTCATTTTGCTCCCCTCAAGTACAGTCAGTACCACTATCAAGTCTACCAGATTCATATCTACCAGAAAGACTTATTTATGTACTTACTTCGGCCTTCTCCCTCTAAACAGGGAACATTTTATCATAGATAAGCCACAGGTGAAGTAAAATTGTAATTATCAATTTACTTCACGAAACTACATTTGAATTAACATCTTTATCTGAATCATCTA